AAGCGCGCCAATGAACTGTGGAGAGTTGCGTCCCTTTGGCTGTGCCTGCATCATATCCGTTAACGTGGGTTTCACCACCATAGTGAATATCTCTGAACTGTGTCAATCGATATTTCCTCTGCCACCAAACAAACACGCCCTGGGATGACTAAACTACGGCGTCAATTGAACTCACTCACCCACTCACTCACTCACTATCTCACAGCCCAGTGTACCTTTAAAGTGTTCTATTTTGGGGGAATAGACTGTCTCACAGTCCTTGGCCCGCGTTATTTTCCCTTCCACTTAACCCTTTGTGCAGTGGGAATGGCCTAAATGAAGCAAGCTGGGCTCCGTTACATTATAACTGGAAGTATTTATTTCTATCACAATTGCATACATTCAGAGAAAAGCGTTTGCCTATAGGGAAAACAACCCATCATTACTTCTCTAGTTTGACATAGTAGTTCGTAAGTGAGTAGATATCCGTTTGTTCGTTGGTTAAAATCCGAAATTCGAGCCTGGCTCATGGTTTGTTAGTTACATATTCGTGTTTGCGGGTTCAAGAAATAATGAAAGTTTACAACTTGGCCCGACATAATGAACATGTGATAATGTTCAAATTGCACCAAATCTTACTGTGTCCGATTCATGTCAAAACTCGGGGATATCAAATCAGGAATTATATGTCCAATATGGACGTTGAAGTATGATACAAGTCGTGTAACAATGTATCCAGTACGCACCGAAGCTGGCACTATTGACCAGTGCCGGATGGTGTCTAGTTTATATCCTCCAGGCAGCCGTGATATGTAGCTAGTCAGGCCAGGTGATAAAACAACATTATATTTGCCATCAACCTGGGAGGCATTGTGAACAAGAAACAGTTGAGGAATGTGGCCATGGAAGCATGACACATGGTATTGATAAATCTATGAGTTTAATGTGCCTTCCGTGGATCAGAAGCTCACCTTCAAGCACTGGATGGCCTTCTGTCACCATTCAGCTCCATAAACTTAAAACCGAGCCCAGCTATGTAGTCTGACACATCCACTGGCTCGGAGGATGAACCATTCGGTGATTTAAATGGTAATGGAGTCTATTTGATGTACTTTGATTTTAAAAGTAAGTTGGACATTCTATATTATTTTCAGTTATTTTCGTGTATAATGCGTTAGTGTTCTATACCCCTATCATTATAGAAAATGTTTCATGGACGGTGTGAAAGCCTAGTGGTTAAAGTGTTCGCCCGTCACACCGAAGACCCAGGTTGGATTCCTCACATGGATACAATGTGTGAAGCCCATTTCTGGTGACCACTGCCTTGATATTGCTGGAATATTGCTGAAAGCGGTTTAACACCATACTTACTCACTCACTCACTCACTCTGGCAATGGGGGCCTCTCCTCCCTTTGAAAGGCTCGCTTAGATGGAAATGACCTATAGTACATAAGAGGTAAAACAGCATAGGTCTGCGATCTTGACTAGGACATGATAGCTGTACCATTATGGGAACCAAACCAGGTTGTTACACGTGCACATATCACCTACTGATCTACCCAAAGAGAATAAATGGCCAATGCTATACTAACCTGCTTGAGAATATTAACTCCGTCAGAATCTCAAGCCTCCACGTCGTAGAAAGCTCACCACGGGAACGTTGTCCCACCAGAACATACTTATGTGTACAAGTCTGCAGTCGCCATGGCTGCAATGCGTGACTTTGAACATCCTCTGATTTTCACCCCTTCCCAAACTTACTAAAAGGGAACTGTCTGTCAAGCATTATGCAAGTTAGGATAACGTCATTTTGTGCTTTAGGGGCGGTGGGGTAGCCTAGTGGTTTAAAGCTTTCGCTCGTCACGCCGAAGACTCGGGTTCGATTCGCCACAAGTGTACAATGTGTGAAGCTCAATTTTGGTGTTACCCGCTGTGATATTGCTGGAATATTGTTAAGAGCGGTGTAAAACCAAACTCACTCACTCATTTCTGCTGTAGAGGACTTTTGCTCCACCAAGAGGAGGCCTTCCAAAGGGGCACTATGCTAACCATTTACAAAGCGCGCCAATGAACTGTGGAGAGTTGCGTCCCTTTGGCTGTGCCTGCATCATATCCGTTAACGTGGGTTTCACCACCATATTGAACATCTCTGAACTGTGTCAATCGATATTTCCTCTGCCACCAAACAAACACGCCCTGGGATGACTAAACTACGGCGTCAATTGAACTCACTCACCCACTCACTCACTCACTCACTATCTCACAGCCCAGTGTACCTTTAAAGTGTTCTGTTTTGGGGGAATAGACTGTCTCACAGTCCTTGGCCCGCGTTATTTTCCCTTCCACTTAACCCTTTGTGCAGTGGGAATGGCCTAAATGAAGCAAGCTGGGCTCCGTTACATTATAACTGGAAGTATTTATTTCTATCACAATTGCATACATTCAGAGACAAGCGTTTGCCTATAGGGGAAACAACCCATCATTACTTCTCTAGTTTGACATAGTAGTTCGTAAGTGAGTAGATATCCGTTTGTTATTTGCTTACTCTTGACAAAGCAGGACTGTACACTTGCTGTTAAATGAAATTTTCTTCAGTGAAAAAAGTTAAACTTCGGTCACATTTAGCTCGCACGCCATGATGTGTGGATAACTATACATGGCGGCGTTTAAGTAAACTCGCTTTACTTTTGATCAAATACTCAAAATAGACTATCTGATATGTGTTAGTGATCAATGTATTAGCCGTCAATTGAAGGAGTTAGATGACTGGCAACAGATTTAACATTTTTTCAAATTATCCAAAACAACACGATTCATCTTTGACACGCATGGTACTAGCAAGTGATATATATATCAGCAGGGTGTGGTACTGTGTTACAGATACGTGTCGTAGTGTATGACACGTGTGTTTTATGTTACTGACAGATCGTTATAACATGACACGTGTGTGGTTATGTTACCGACAGGTCGTTATAACATGACACGTGTGTGGTTATGTTACCGACAGGTCGTTATGACATGACACGTGTGTGGTTATGTTACTGACAGATCGTTATGACATGACACGTGTGTGGTTATGTTACCGACAGGTCGTTATAACATGACACGTGTGTGGTTATGTTACCGACAGGTCGTTATGACATGACACGTGTGTGGTTATGTTACTGACAGATCGTTATGACATGACACGTGTGTGGTTATGTTACCGACAGGTCGTTATAACATGACACGTGTGTGGTTATGTTACCGACAGGTCGTTATTACATGACACGTGTGTGGTTATGTTACCGACAGGTCGTTATGACATGACACGTGTGTGGTTATGTTACCGACAGGTCGTTATGACATGACACGTGTGGTTATGTTACCGACAGGTCGTTAAGTGACATGACGACGTGTGGTTATGTTACCGACAGGTCGTTATTACATGATGTACGCCGTGGTTTATGTTACCGACAGGTCGTTATAACATGACACGTGTGTGGTTATGTTACCGACAGGTCGTTATGACACAGACACGTGTGTGGTTATGTTACCGACAGATCGTTATGACATGACACGTGTGGCTATGTTACCGACAGGTCGTCGTTGAACTTTACGTGTGTGGTTATGACATGACACGTGTGTGGTTATGTTACTGACAGATCGTTATGACATGACACGTGTGTGGTTATGTTACCGACAGGTCGTTATAACATGACACGTGTGTGGTATGTTACTGACAGGTATGTTACTGACAGGTCGTTATTACAAGACACGTGTGTGGTTATGTTACTGACAGGTCGTTATTACAAGACACGTGTGTGGTTATGTTACTGACAGGTCGCTATTACAATACACGTGTGTTTTTATGTTATCGACAGGTTGTTATTACAAGAAACGTGTGTTTTATGTAACCGATAGGTCGTTATTATATGACACGTGTGTTTTTATGTATCCAATATTTTGTTATTACACGTATTTTTTTATACCAACCATAGGTCGTTATTACATAGCACGTGTGTTTATGTCGTTGACATGTAACCCATATTTGACACGTGTTGTACAATATAACCGATACGTGGCACTTGTGTTGTATAATTCAATTGCCATTTGACAGGTTGCAATGTTACATGACCCATTTTGCACAGTGCAACAGAAATATGACACATATGGTACAATGTAACCGGTAAATGACACAATTGGTATGATGTCATCGATATGCTGCACGTGTTAAATGCAACCAAAATATTACACATGTGGCACAATGTACCCTATAATTAGCCTTGTGGCACAATGGACTTATAATTAGCACACGTGTTACAGTGTAACCGGTATTGACCCGTGTTACGGTGCCACAGTATTGACACGTCTTACAGTGCAACAGTATTGACACGTGTTACAGTGCACCAGTATTGACACGTGTTACAGTGCAACCGGTATTGACAAGTGTTGCCATGCAATTTGTATTCACGTGTTGCGACGCAATCTGTATTGACAGGTGTCGCAGTGCAACTGGCCTTGATACGTGTTACACTGCACCAGTATTGACACGTGTTGTGGAGCAATCTGTATCGACACGTGTTGCAGTGCAACTGGCATTTATGCATGTTACATTGCACAAGTATTGACACGTGTTGTGACGCAATCTTTATTGACACGTGTTGCAGTGCAACCGGTATTGACACGCGTACGCCTCTGCATGTCACACTTGTCCCAACTCTCAAGATCAGAAGCTGTCTGTGAAATATCCCTGTATGCATTCCCGGTCAGGGCACAGTCTCGATGCGGGGCATTATATATTTAGCTGCAATTATCCCAGCAATTACATGCTTCCAAATTGTTAATATGTCCTACATCCACTGCACAGTAGACGAGGCCGTTGTAGTGTGTCTCTCTGGCAGTATCAGTGCTCACTGTTGCGGAAACTAATCCCCGGAGCCAGGTAGGTAGAATTAGCAACATGCCTGGTAATCATAGGAATATGCTATTCACATCACTTATTGATTGTAGTTTTGACTCAACGTAGGTGTATCGGTAAATAACTGCGGAGGTGAGATGCAACAGGCTTTAGGTCACCGAGAGGCAAATAGTCAATATTCACAAGAATAACAACATATGGCTTGACTAAACCAGACTTCTAAGGGTAGGATAGGATTTATTAGCTAGTGTATGCAACTGAAGAGGTTGATTAAGAACATGGTATCACAAGTTTGAACTGTGACGACAATTGTTTGCGAGGCAGTATACAAGTCAACTTTAACTGGTGCTAAGGAAATATGCCACCTCCAACGGCGAAGAAGGGCGTCTTTATTGCCGGAAAGAACAAGAAAGTCCCGGATCCTTGGTGCCTCGTCTGTGGCGTCAACCTGCGCCTCGATGGCCGTAGCTTCGTCGTCCTCACCAGCGATGATGCGGAGGAGACACGTAAACTGTTTGTACAGATCCTCGGAGTCCAATTCCGGAGTGACTACGCCTCTGTGAATTTATGCAGTAAATGCGAGAGATCACTGAAAAGGATCAACCGATATGGTGGACTTGAATCGGCAAAGTCCGAAGCTAATATTCTGAAGAAGTCACTGGCGGAGAATCTTAAGAAGAAGGGCCAAGACACTGTTGAGGCTAGCGAAGCTGATAAATTTGAAATAACTGATTTCAAAGGCACTGTGCCAAAGCCGGAGGCAAAACGAGACTTCAAGAGTAAGTTCGATTCGGAAATGGTTCTAGGATGAATTATTGTAGTTGTTTTTTCGCAACAGCGTGTCAGGTCTAATCCTGAAAGGGTACAGTGTTAATAGGGTTCCTATGATTGTTAATTTCAGGAAGTGTGTTGTAAATCTGTGTTTTATTATATTTCCAGAGTCCGAGCCGCTGATTGAAGAAGAGGCCGAGGAGTGGAAGGAGAACCAGGATTGGGAACAAGAAGCAGACGACAGCGAGAACATCGACACAAATAAGGTAGTCGCGTGACCTTGACGACTGAATTCTTTAATATACTGTTGACGAGCGATGCTGGCATTGAGATGTGGCAATAACATTGAAAATGTTCAGTTACTGGACGATTGGCATGACAGACAGATCAGCCCCTACCCGATTTCAGACTGAAAGTGCTAGAACACCATCACACCGGAAGTAGTAATCTTATGCACTTGATGTAGCAAGTTGATTATGCAAGACATGCTTCTCAGTTAATTTAGTTTGAGTTTTGTGCCATCAAGTGCTGCAAAGTTAATTTCCTAATGAGAGGTCTCCATTTGGCTGTCATTCACTCTGACACATCAAAAGACTAATGACCGACAATGGTATTAATAAGTACCTACGTAGTACTAACACCAAGATCATGTAGCAGATAACACGTAGACGTGATATTTCTTTTCAAATTCCATTCAGAGTTCCTTTGGTATTGAACGGTATAATTATAATGTCAAAACTGGAAATTCAACGATTATGATCTTAAATGATGTGTACGTGCAGAGAATATAATGGAACTGAAAGGTTAGTGTACCACAGTGACATCTAAAAATGTCACGGAATAATTGTGTTCGTATTACTTTTTTTTAAAGGTTAATTTCCACTTGTAGGGTTGGGCATAGATAATATTTTCCTATAGTTTAGCGCTTCAGTTATGCAATTCAATGTGCACTTACTAATGAGAGTTGGTAATAGCTTCAATGCATTGACACGTTAATGATAATGATACAACACAACCTTGGAACCTAAGCGTTGATGCGTTGCTAAACAATTTAGACATTTAAAATATGGTTTAACAGTTTGCATTCTGGTAGAACCGATCTGGTACAAATTTCGTGTATTTAGTATTTATATATTTTCATATCATCAAGTTAGTGTCCTACTTAATCTGTCTGACAGCTCCTGGACCGAATTATTTTCCCTTCTACCCAGTCTCTTCTGTAATGGTAAACCACTAAATGAAGCAAGTCTAGATTTCCTCATTCAGAATCTTCCTTCTCACTTCAGCTTCTTTTCAATTTAAAAGGAATTGTTTGTTTCTATCAAACAATGTATGTATGTGTACCACGACTAGCGTGGATCACTTTGATTCACCGTGATGTATGATGTGTACCACGACTAGCGTGGATCACTTTGATTCCGTATTGGAGAAATGTAGTTAGGAAGCGTTTCAAAAATGTGAGTTTAGAAAGTTAATGAATTGTGGTTGCGCAAATAGTATCTGACCTATGGTTTTAGTGGGGTGTGTGGATGGAGGGGGTAATTTATAGAGAATGTGAAGGACAAGACATATGTGGAATCTGACCTTGTGTATAAAGGTTGCTAGGCCATATATAAAAATATTCTTGTTTCTCATTACCGACCCAAAAATTCGACCCGACCCTAAGAGTGATTCTTTTTACTTTGACTCTCAAAATGTGCATGAAAGTTTCACACTTCTAAGTTTTGATTTTCTATGGGATAAAATGTGTAAATTTCATCAGAAATCATGGCGGTTGGTGTGTGTGTCCCCAGTGCACCATACCGCCATGACAGACATCCCCACCAGACGTCCCCAATATACCGCCATGGCAGACATTCCCACCAGACGCCCCAAGTGCACCATACCGCCATGGCAGACATTCCCACCAGACGTCCCAAGTGCACCATACCGCCATGACAGACATCCCCACCAGACGTCCCCAATATACCGCCATGGCAGACATTCCCACCAGACGTCCCAAGTGCACCATACCGCCATGGCAGACATTCCCACCAGACGTCCCCAATATACCGCCATGACAGACATTCCCACCCGACGTCCCCAATATACCGCCATGACAGACATTCCCACCAGACGTCCCCAATATACCGCCATGGCAGACCGCCATGACAGACATTCCCACCCGACGTCCCCAATATACCGCCACAACAGACATTCCCACCAGACGTCCCCAATATACCGCCTCGACAGACATTCCCACCAGACGTCCCCAATATACCGCCATGACAGACATTCCCACCAGACGTCCCCAATATACCGCCATGACAGACATTCCCACCAGACGTCCCCAATATACCGCCACGACAGACATTCCCACCAGACGTCCCCAATATAGCGCCACAACAGAAATTGCCACCAGACGTCCCCAATATACTGCCTCGACAGACATTCCCACCAAAGCGGCAACCTCATCTGACTGCGCTGTTGACAACTCTGTGTCAAAATGTGACTTGCTTTCTTAGATGCCGTTCGGTTTCTTGAAAAAGTCCAAGAAGGACAAGAAAGACAAGAAGGACAAGAAGAAGGAAAATGAGGCAGCTGTCGATGACGCCAAACCTGAAGACCAACAACCCATCGTGGACGCTCCGGACGCCGACCAGACGCCTGCGCCGCGAGTATTTAAAGAGGGGACTACACTGGCCGCGATGGCGAGCACCATACCCAAGAAACCGGAACCAGTTAAGGGTGATAGCAAAGACGAAGAGTACCCGGATGGGGGATTTGTCCCCAGCAGTAATGCTACGCCAAGCAACGACACCAAGACCAGTCAACCAGTCGCACAGGTACGGGACAATGGGTGCATGTGAACTATAACCCTTGACCTTGTGACTCCGTGTAGGACGCCTCTCTATTTGGAAGTGTATTCTGTTTGATATTTATAATCATCTTTAAATAACCTGTGTATCTGATGTGTCCAGATATGTCCATACATGGACATATGCTGTATCCATCTATCGACATTTAATGTATCCGTGCATGGATATGTTGTTTAATCGGTGCATGATAACATTGATACTCCAGCCAGGAGACTGCCGAGAAACAGTGGCGCCTAGTGTAGTACGACATGGCACAGGCTGATGGGGGCGAGGTGACACGTGCTGCTGCAACACATACTATTTGCATATCCACAGTGTATTCTCTAGCAGAATTCGATACGCTTGACTAAAAAATCGATCCGGATTACAATATGGATAGCATATGTGCCCAAGCTGAATATGGAGCTTCTTTATTTCTTTTATTATGAACCTTACTAAAAGTACTTTTATTACAATGATAACTATCGAGCAGCTTGGTTTAGCCCGCCTTGATTGAAGGCGACCCGTGAAGCCACATTAACGCCCTCACCATTAGCAAGGTCCCAGGACATTAGAAACGACCAAAGTCATTAGATTAGAAGTATTCCATGCTTTAGCAAAATGCAGAAGTGTGTAATATATCGAGAGTCGCGGTATATGTATTAATATACAGGTTTGTTATGACGTCCATAGAACTTTGACATATCCCCATTCAAAGGATCATTCTTATCCTGTGACATATCGTCAGCCATTGGCTGGTTCCTTGATATGAGAATGGGAAATTCTGAAGACGTATTCCAGATAGTAGTAGCTGTTGAAGGAACCTTGGAAGATTATTTGCATCATAGTGTGTGTATTCCTACCTTCCCATGTCTATGGAGGTATATATTTACACACTAGCTGACTGTATCTGATTGCGGTGTTGCACAACAAACAATGGTCTGCTGGACAGGATAGTGGGATAGATATTTACGGGTGATGGAGAACAGTGCACAGGAAGGTTCACTCCCTAAAGACAGACCACCAATAAGACAGACTCAATGAGTACACTAATTAGCTGAGCCATGCTGTCCACCCCTATTCAATTAATGAGCTGACCCAGAGTCACTGCAGAGTATAGTAGCAACACGCTCCTATCTCCTGTGCCCCTCTCAAAACATATTACTAATCCTTTTACTGAACAGAACAGAACCAAACCGAAATTTTATTCTAAAAAATCACATTTAGTGACACAGAGAAATTTATGTATAAATAATTTATTTATAGATAAATTATTGTTTTTGAAAATATTCACAAGTAAATGTGATCCGGCAAATATATGTTGATGTACATATATGTTGATGCAATTTGTCTTAATTTAAAAATCATAATTCATTACATGAATTGATATTACTATAGCACATACCATTATTATCAAGGGTACAGCTTAATTAAGCCTTCTGCTACCAACCATAAAATGTGTTGTTTTAAGCGGTCTGTCTTTTGGGAGGTCTGTCTTATGGGAAGATACCTGTGCACTCCTGTGGAACGATGTTTTATGGATAGGCAACTTCCAAATTGCAAAGGATGCTTGATAACGGTGTTAGCATCTACACCGAAACGTCGCATCCATCGCAATATAGAAATTGTCTATCCACAAAAATTCGTTCCTGTTTATCATACCAGCTTCTAAATGCCACTCAAAGAAGGGGTATACTGGACACAAACACCGTCAAGTATTGTACAGTGTTACTTGTGACATATCCATTTTACTAGTACAGTACCTAATGCCCCGTTGCTATAAATCTAGTCTGTCTCACAGTCTCTGAACCACTTTACTGCTACTGCCTAGCCCTCTCTGCAATGCTAAAGCCCTAAATGAAGCAAGTCTAGGTTTCCCCAGGTTCCCAACTCACTGGAGCTCCTTTTCAATCTAAATAAGTTTACTTGTTACGATCAAAATTACATGTTTTTAGGGACTAAGCGTTAGTCAACTATAAATCCTTTGCAGTAGGTTTCAAGAAAGCGTTTTGTAATTTGTGTGCCACGTCAACCTTCAAAACCTTTCTGATCCCACTGTAGTGATCAAATACAGTAACTTTCTATGTTAACCTTATAACGTCACTATTTTCAACCAATACGAATTTCTCTGCTTGTGACCTTTTGGCTCTCCAAAGTAGATAAGGCGACATTATGGCGACTACACAGAAAGAGAAAAAAATGAGAATTAGCATTATCAGAGAATGATGCAGGGGTTGTGCGATCTACAAAAACATGGGCAGTTACTAGACATTATGTTATTATTATAAACCTAATGGCAATTGAAACGACCCAATAGGAGGACTAAATAAACCCAATAGGAGGGCTAAGTAAACCCAATAGGAAGGCTAAGTAAAACCACCATTCCCGATTATCTAGGATATTATATCGCTCTTATATTTTTATTTGGTGTTAGGACTGCCTGTTCGCTAATTTTGGTGGCCATCTTGGATTTTGCGGCCATATTGGAAAAGTTTGGATGTCCCTTTAGCTATTAATACTTGTACTCGAGTGAAGAACATGTGCACCAAATTTCATGCATTTAACTCATGACATTTTAGTCAATGAGCCGAGAACCAGGGCGCTGCTGTAGTGGCTGGGATTTGGCAACCTGAACTCATATATGGCTGTGTTCTCGCTCAAACCAGAGGACAGTTTCTTCACACTAAAATTAAATCTCGTGACAAATATCTGGACCTTTCCAAGCCCGATTCGAGTGACAAAACATATCTGTCCAGTCATATAAATCTCGTGAGAGAAAGAAATTCTGTGTTTCACTGTTTAGCGAGAGGTAGGAAATAGAATTAAGGCAATTTCAAAACGAGGCTATGGTGCGAATGGAACGAGAGTTTTTACCACAATATAATGGACATGTAATACAGTGGATAAACGAGGGCATATGAGTAGGGGCCGTGTGTTTATCTTGATTTGAGTATCACATATGCCCAAGATGAACTATACTGAATACATAATTCGGTCTCCCCGCTAAGCAGGCTTCGTGCAGCATGTGTTCATACCTCATTAACACCGTGGCATTTCGTTGGGACAATATCGTGTGTAATTATAGCTAATGTGCTAATTAATAGCCTTCATTGTCATGCATCGGAGAGTAGGCTATTATAAATCCCACATTAGAAGTAAATATAGTATGGTTATTGATTGTTTACAGTATGTTAGGAAAGTAATTGTCATAATATTGTAATTGTAATCAAAATTACTAACTTCAAAGGACGATCTAAGTTGTATTAAATTTTTTAACTACCTTGCAAATGGCATATGGACCAGACATGTTTACTCAGTTTTAGCGTACAAATCGGTGGTTATGAATATTCATATTACATGGTAAAAACATCTAATTGTAGGTTTAAGTTTAATAACTCTGTGTCCGTGCGTCGTTGATGATTTAACGACAAGTGTTAAAAACACGTCACAATTTAGTTCTGGAAAATCAAAAGTCCAGTTTCTGACAAAAGATTTTACAAAATTCAACATGCGGTTATCATGAATATATGCTAAGGATGAAAAAATGTTTTTCGAAATTCAAATTTAAACTGCCTCGCCCAACAGTCGAGAATTTATACTTTTGCTGAAAATGATTATTTTTTTTCATGTTTTGGACTGACTGACTGACTGAGTATGGTTTTACGCCGCTTTTAGCAATATTCGAGCAACATCACGGCGGGGGACACCAGAAATGGGCTTCACACATTGTACCCATGTTGGAAATCGAACCCGAGTCTTCGGCGTGACGAGCCAACGCTTTAACAACTAGGCTACCCTACGACCCCTTCATGTTTTGGAGGTAGTAAATGAATGAAAGTATGTTTATGAGTATCATGACAAAAAATTTAAATCATTTTGACGTTTTTAAAAAGAATCATTAAAAGGTTGATAATGGCAATCCAAATGGAAACAGTTTAATGATTATTACTGATGAAGATCAGTTACTCCAGCTGGTGCTGTCAGGCCAGAGTGGTGGTACCATTGTGTTATTTCATGGGGGGGTTTCAACGCCTATTCAGACAATATAGGATTACATTCAACTTTACGAAAAATATATCAATACGGTTCAGTTATGAAAATTATATCTTGTTTTATACCCGGAGACGACAAACGGTGGTTGTCAAAATAAACTGACAGGCAAAAGAAAGTATACTTAAGTATTATATGGTGTCTAAGAATATTACATAGAAGAAATGATTATTCGATGCTGAAGTGTTTGATACGGGTATCATTGTTTTGAATCTCACTGTTTTTGGTGCCTGTTTTCAGCTCAGACATTTTGATAACGTTTGTAATACTTTGGTCAGATCCACTTTTCGAGTGTTTACTTTCGTTCATCCGACAGTTTACATTAAGAAGATGTACCAAGATGGATATTCTCAACTTTGTCCAATGTTAAATGTTCTTAAACACCATCTTAAACGCCCGGGTTAAAATGGTTCTCTAGCAACCATTGGCTGTCCGACTAATTGATTTGTTGGGTCCAGTTGATTTGTGCAGCTTAATTACGAGTCCAGAAGGATTCAGCAATATTACGTGGTCTCTAAGGAACTCAGCCTGAAATATTATAGATTGCCTGTGTCTTCCAGTACAGTGACTCGGGGGTATTAGGGACACAGGCGCAAAAAATAACTGCTAATCGCATCATTTTATGTTCTGGAACGTATTTAGTAGGCCTTGGTTTTGGAACGTATTTTGTTGGTTTTCGTTTTGTCTACAAATACAACTCTGCAGTCTACAAAGACAAAACGAAGGCCTACTAAATACGTTCCAACACATAAAAGGATGCCATTAGCAGTTAGTTTTACAGAGTGATTCTGATATAGGATTTTGTTATTTGACTGAAAAATATTATCTCTTTTTTTCCAGGAGAAAGAAAATCCTGAGAAGCTAACAGATTCGGATGAGACTGAACTCAAGAAACTAGAGGTCAAGGACGCACCAGTCAAGAGCGAGAACTCTCCACTCATCAATAAGAACGGCGATGTGAAGGAGAGCAAGCTACAGGATCAGCAACCTGGCATGCTCTGCTGCACCATTCTGTAGCCAGGCCTATAGAAACCGGAAATGACGTCACGTCCTTGACCTTGTAGTCAATTAAAAACTTTCGGCTGTTCCAAGAGCAGTTGCTCTTGGTTTCCTAACTCTAATACAGTTCTATGGTGTGGTTTGCATTAGAAAGATCGTTGCATGGGGTTGCGTTTGAAACAAAATCTGAAAAAATATTATAATGTGTTGTATTTCGTGACTTGCATGTTTTTATGAACGTTATGTTAAACGCTGAAAAGAAATCAAGCCCCGTAATATTTTACGCTCTAAAAGACATTTACATAAACATACGGTATGTGTTTACAACATGATTGATAACGCATGTTTTGGTGAATCGGATATCAATATACAAGCAATCAAATGGTGACTTGATTGATTTTTATGAATGTTAAATAGCAATGAAAATAGCACATATGTGTCTTTAGAATCAGGATAACTTTACATCATTAGGTTTTTTTCAGTTTGATGTCAGGAACTGCAACGCATTTTGGTTATGGATATCGACTTGCCCGCGGCAAGTTCAGCGGGCAGTTTAGGAGTAAACGTCATATTGCATCGCCCACTTTCCATGGCACCTGTTGCAGGTCACGTGACTTAGCCTCGTTTGGACCTCGTCATGCGATGGTTATGAGCTACTGCAGCTGTTGCAGTTACATCCGGGCATCTATGTTATCTTTGTTTGAAACACAAAAGCAGAAATCTAAATGTTATTATGCATCAACTAGCTGAGACAGAGAAAATATTGACAATATGAAGCTTCAGTCACGAGCGTCTGTTGTTCAATAAATTAATATAGTACTGATGACCAATTCTTTCGTTAGATTCAACCGCTTTGTTAAAACATATTTGTTGATGAGTGAAATGCCGACACTTCCTATTATTCAGGAATATTCATTTATGGATTTATTTCAAATAAATAGTTTTAAATACTGTCAAATTTATTAAAAACTGGCTTTATCTTGTTACAACATCTCAAATATTGGAAGTGGGCTTCATTTTACATATACTCATTAAGTACGTTTCCTTTAAACCTGTGTGTAGAAGCAGGGGCTTGTAACACCAACACGTACTGGAAATATACTGGACTAAACAATCTTCAGTAATATTGGTTGTGACCATATATCTTGTAGCTGCTAATGCTTGGGTTTCAACTGTAGCCACGTGTATATTATATTCGAATATTTACTGTTATATATATAATGTATGTCTGTTAATTTATGTCTTTCACATCTGCTGGGTTATTGTTAGTTTTACACTTTTCTACTGTAAAATATATCCTTGTACAGAAACGCACATATTTGTGTGTCGTGATAACACAATATAAGGACAAATGTGATGCAAACGGTTATAATTAGTTTACCAAGTACGGTCTGGGGAAATTAAAGAAATAGAAACTACTGTTCTTAGACACCGACGTGATCTTCAGACTAACCTAAGGTGAAGGCCAGAATACTAAGGTCAAGGTCAAATTTGCAGTCATTTATCATGTGTCGTTTGTGAAAATATGAAATAAGAACTTAACCATTCGGGGCAGTCTATTAATAGACCCCCTGCTTACATGAAAAAATAATCTCAACCAAACTGGTGCTATATTATGTGGGCGTTGGCGGCTTTCACCATTATGTGCCTTATTACAATATGTATCGGAGCCGAGTTTCTTAACCCCAGTATTCCATGTATGTAATGTCTTCCTCCCCGTCATGTGTAATCTGATCTCTGAAGGTCTCAGATAAACGAGATAAGCTTCTTTAAGTCAAATTAATCCTTATTATACTTATCACAGCGTTAATTTCAATATTACAAATCCAATTCTGTGTTATTCTGTTGTAATATATCGTGTTTAATTCGCGTATGCTGACTCTTCTACTTGTGATTTATGTTTTTGTAACGGGATGTTCTTGAGAGACACCATGCTATGTTTGGGGGTAAAACAATTGGGAACCTGATTAAAAATATGTATTTTATATAACAACACAGTTTGGGCTTAAATCCAGAGGAAACAATGTAAGGGTTGATTTTAGGTTGATTCATTAATTTCTACAACGTAATATTTACAAAAATACGTTTTCAGGAATTATATTTTTTAAATATTTTTTTCAAATAAAGCGTGCCTGTTCCTTGTTTCAAAACGTTCTTTTAAACTAAAAGTTTCGGCGAAAAGAAAGCATTAGGTGGGAATAGCTGTAGAAATTGAGTTCTGTCAAAATTCCCATGTTGTTTTCAAAGTGTGGCAATGATGCATGCATTTGACTAGAAATATCACGCTATGATAAAACGGAAATTTAACACTATGTCGACTCATATTTTATAGCAATAACAAATCAATTCAATGTATATTTATTTATTTTCATTTTATTTTATTTCTATGATACTGAGAAAAAATCCGCTGTTGTATCTGTGAACTGAACTTATTTCTTCGTGTTGATGCATCCTATGTCATCCTGGTGAACAGTAATTGTTCGCTGTTTCTTAACCCTGTGTTATTGTCCTGGCTAGGAGAGAGCTATATTGTTGAGATGACACTGTCACCCCGAGTTAGCGATTTAAAGACGCCTTCAGTGCTTCCCGTCTTACTCTCCGGGTTGTTTGTTGTTCGTTGGTAATAAACTCTTCTGAAATACACGACCAGGGCTGTTGTTGTTAGTTCTGCGCCCCTATCGAGGATGACACTTGAAGCATGCAGTTTAATGAATCTGCACAGTAACATGGCCGCTCCGTGGTGCTGTGGATACTGCGTAAGGAGAACGGACAGTGGATGGTTCAATCCCAACATGCCACCTGACGTTAAAAGATGGTACTTGTTGTTTTCCTGCCTGGAATTAAGGTGAGGTGAGGTGAAATTGGGTTTTACGTCGTGCTTGAGAATATTTCGCTCATATGACGACGTGCATGCTTGTGTATGTGTATGTGCGGCTGCTTGTACGAGACAAGACTGAAGCTGGTTTTATAGTGCTAGCCCACTGAGATACCATGCCGCAGTGAAGCATGAATACCCCACTCAGACACATTATACTGACTCCGAGCCGACCAGTCCTCGTTGTACCCACTAATGCCGAGCGCCAGGCAGGGACCAACAAGTACCATATTTAAACGTCATTTGGTATGACGCGGTCGGGGATGGAACCCGCGACCTTCCGCCCTCCGGGCGGACGCTTTAACCACTACACCACGGAGGCGGTCGCCTGGCATTAAGGAGTACAAGTAGTTGCTGGCTTGGATTAGTGTACTATGTCTGAATGTGGCATCCATTTTAAGCTATGGCATCCCAGTGGGCGAGCACGAAAACACCAGCATTAGCGTGAATTTTCTGGTAGTTTGTTTTTAACGCCACTGACACACATCAGATGTCCAACTATATGACGGCGGTCTGTAAATAATCCAGTCTGGATCCAGTAATCAACATCGATCTACGCAATTGGGAACCGATGACGTGTGTCAACCAAGTCATCAATCCTGACCACCCAATCCTGTTAGTCGAAAAGCATGGGTTGCTAAGGACCAATTCTAACCCGGATCTTCACGGGTATTAGGTAGAGGGTAATGTCCGAGTAACTCTCCATTCCTTAAAAATAATGGAGCCGAGGCCCCGGAGGGGCCGAGGCACATTATTTTTAAGGAATGGAGAGTTACGAGGATATTACCCTACTTAAATTACATTCGAAGTATTGGGAATATTGCTGTTATCAAAATTAAATGTCAAAATGACAAAATGAAGGTTTTATTTTGAAACTGGTACACATCGCTCCATTCCTAAAAAGTAATGGAGCGAACAGACAATGGAATGACGTCACAAATGTAATTTAATGTGGAGTAATACAAGTAGCCACACAAGTGATCAAAGACACTGGTTTCCAACGGTTCGCGTGCTTTATGGATGTCAACTTGTTTATTTTATTATGATACTCTTTTGTCACTCTTCCATGACAACGCTAATTGAATGAGTTAGATTTTACGCCGCTTTTAGCAATATTCCAGCAATTCACGGCGGGGGACAACAGAAATTGCTTCATAAACTGAGGGCATCCCCACGTCTCACAGAAAGGAAATCCACGTGGAGTTTTTTGTAAGCATGAAAATTGCTTTTATTCACGTTTTTTGCATGCTTCTGTGGAAACATACCCGTATGAAAGTACAGTATAAAAATTATGCTCGACTGTTCGAATTCATCACTTCAATACGTTGGACACAAAGAACATGCCTCGACTCACGGCAGAACAGAGAGAACGAGCTATTGGGATGTTGCAGCTGGGTGCTTCTCACAGTCACGTTGCAAGAATCATGGGTTGCAGCAAGAAAACCATCACCAGACTGATGACACGCTTCAGAACAACAGGTCGGACTGCAGACAGGCCTAGGACAGGGAGACCACCCGTAACCACCCCTCAGGAAGACCGCCATTTACGGGTGCTTCACTTGCGCAACAGATTCCTGACTGTGACGTCATCAGCAACAACCAGCCTTACCCATCCAGTCAGTAGAAGGACCATATCCAGACGACTCCGCCGATTCGGTATCAGAGCCTACAGACCATTCCGGGGCGTGACGTTAACGCGTGAACATCGACGTCGTCGATTGGCTTGGGCACGTAGAGTTCGGCAGTGGCAGCCGCGGAACTGGCGCCGGGTACTCTTCAGTGACGAGAGCCGCTTCCAGTTGAACAAAGCTGATGGTCGGGTACGAGTCTACAGACGTCGGAACGAACGCACAGCACGTTGTTGCGTTCAGGAAGTTGAGACGTTTGGCGGCGGTAGTGTGATGGTGTGGGGGTGTGTGTGGAATTGTGGGAATTGTGGCGAGAGGAAGACTGACTTATTGGTGATAGAGGGAAACCTGAATGCCCGTCGATACATTGATGTTGTTTTACGACCTGTCGTGTTACCCTTCCTCCAGCAGAATCGAGGCGTGTTGTTTCAGCAGGATAACGCTACTCCCCACACTGCTGTTGTTACCCGGAACTTCCTGAACAACAACAACGTAAACGTCATTCCTTGGCCAGCAAGATCCCCGATTTATCACCTATTGAGCACCTATGGGATCATCTCGGCCGTCAGGTGAAGCAACGTCAACATCCCCCACAGACAAGAAACGCTTTGGCTCAAGCTCTACGGGAAGAATGGCGTCGCATCCCACATCACGTGATCAGACGTCTTGTGCACTCTGCACTACGTCGTGTGGCAGCATGTATCGCTGCAAGAGGTGGACACACTCGCTACTGAGGAGTTGGACACTCAAAGACACTCTGTCAGTACTGATGTGCATGTGTTGTCATGATCGAAAACCGGACATTTGAACCTCCTGTGAAAAACGTCACAAAAACTCTACTTACAGCAAATTGTTTCAATTGTTCTGTAATGACAGTCTGCATAATATGTTCAAAAATTATATCAAACATTTCAACATTGAATTGCACGTGTTTGTATCATTTTATGATACAAAAATGATCGGGGACGTTTCTTTTGCCCCTCAGTTTACATGTGAGGAATCGAACCGAGTCTTCGGTTCGACGAGCAAACGCTTTAACCACTAGACTACCACACCGCCTTCCGGACAAGGTGGAGGAAATACTCCCTGACAATGTCGGGGTTTATTTCCTTGTTTAACGTCACACTCAACCATAAGACAATGATATTTGACCAGACAGTCCAGTGACATCACGAGTATGGATCCACGGATACGAGTGAGTGAGTTAAGTTTTACGCCGAATGTACACTTCAGTATGGCGGCGGCCTGTAAATAATCGAGTCTGGACCAGACAATCCAGTGATCAACAGCATGAGCATCTATGTACGCAATTTGGATACGATGACATGTGTCAATCAAGTCAGCGAGCCTGACCACCCGATCCCGTTAGTCGCATCTTACGATGACAACACAGATACTAAGACTTAATAAAACCAAGACAGCATCTGCCTTTAACAGGTGCACCACTAACAATCTCAATCGGCTGTGTTTTATTGTGGTGGCTCTTACCAAGCACGGACGATTCGTTAAAATCGTGATTTCATGATAACCTTGGCACAAGACGGTAAAATGATATATCTGGTGTTTTGGCAACAGTTCCGCAATAAGTACACAGAGTCACAATCAAAACACTTAGCAAAATATTATCATCGGGTTTTTCGGGTTTTTTTTATTGGGAAAATAATCCCAAAGCAAAAGGTGTGTAGGTTTTAGGGGCGGCGGTTTACTTTGCTTCTCTCTGAAGAGAGAACTTAAGGGATTAGGTCACGCATTAGCTTGATACAACTGTAATTTGAGGCAAGCGGCCTTAAATCATGTTCACTCTCTTAACGACTTAAGAATATCCGGCGTTACGGCGTTATACCCTCACTCACACGTTTAACGAAGTCCCTTAACCGTTAAACTCGAATGACTTACATTGGTTGCTGGAGGATGGATTCTGACCTGGAAACACCAGTGAGTGAGTGAGTGTGGTTTTACTCCGATTTTGTCTATATGGCAGTAATATCACAGTGTGTGAAATCAATTTCACCAGAAATCCTCTAGGATTCCCAACCGTCCCTTTGAGAGAGAGAGAAACATGGTCCGAAGACTATTTTTCGTCATGGCCCGAGAGAGGACGGTTTTCTTTTCAGTGCGGGGCCGGTGGGATAGCCCAGTGGTTAAAGCGTTCGCTCGTCACGCCGAAAACCCGGGTTCGATTCACCGCATGGGTTCAATGTGGGGAGCCAACTTTGTTGTACCCGCCGTCAGGCGCGTAGCAAGCCATATTTTTCGTGTAAGCCCGATAGGTTGCAAAGCTTTATATTTAGATAGTATTGTGGGCTTGTCCAACCCTTTTTAGCAAAAAAATCATGTGTAAGCCCGGGCTTTTTATTATAATGGTAGCTAAGCACCTGGCCGTGATATTGCTGGAATATTGCTAAAAGCAGCGCAAAACAAAGGAAAAACCGAACTTTTCAGTGTGGATATAGCCGAACTACATATTTCTGTTGGACCACGTGTCCTTTCCCCGATATTGACATCCACCTGACAGCATAGTCCCACGAGAGCTGTCAATCAAGATATGTACACAATGTACTTACAGTGTATCACTGCCACGTGCACCGTATCACACCTTGATCACATGAGTAGGATCATGACTAACATCACTCAGGTATCGGTATCAAGCTTTATCTCTACTAAACACGATCAGTCCGTTGAGCATAATCCATTTAGAGTGAATGAATCTATTTTACGCCGCCGGGAATCCCTCAAAATGGACTTCGCAATGTACCCACGTAGGGTGAGGTGAGGTGAAAATTTGGTTTAACGTCGTGCTTGAGAATATTTCGCTCATATGACGAAGTGCATGCGTGTGTATGTGTATGTGCGGCTGCTTGTACTAGCCCAGACTTAAAGCTGGTTTTATAGTGCTAGCCCACTGAGATACCATGCCGCAGTGAAGCATAAATACCCCACTCAGACACATTATACTGACTCCGAGCCGACCAGTCCTTGTTGTACCCATTAATGCCGAGCGCCAGGCAGGGACCAACAAGTACCATATTTTAACGTCTTTTGATATATCGCGGTCGGGGATCGAACCCGCGACCTTCCGTTCTCCGGGTGGACGCTCTAACCACTACACCACGGAGGCGGCCCCCCCACGTAGGGAATCG